TGACAAATGATATTGCCCTATTCTACTTTAAAGACACTAAGCAGAAGCCGGATTATAACACACAAGGCACAATAGCGTCCACACTGAAGTATTGTCAACCCCATCATCAGTGCTCTCCAATTCATGTGTGATGCATTGTTGTTTCTTTGGAAGAGTTATTGATTTATTTCCTTTGATCTCCTCTTGAATGCCAGGGATCGAAATGGAGAGGTTTGCGGATGAGGCAGATGTAGTTATAGTAGGTGGGGGTCCCGCAGGTCTTTCAGCAGCCATCCGCCTGAAACAGCTTGCTAATGAGCAGGAGAAGGAGTTACGAGTGTGTCTGGTGGAGAAGGCCTCCCAGATTGGAGCGCACACACTGTCCGGAGCCTGTCTGGAGCCCAGTGCACTCGCTGAACTATTTCCTGATTGGAAAGAAAGAGGCGTAAGATCTTGTTCAATACTGTTTCCAATTCATTGCCTAACAACAAATTGACAATCATGACAACCATGTTGTATTTTCTGCAGCAAAGGGATATTTTTAAATTGACATCATAGCAAACACTACTATTGACATTGTTTGTTTATAGTTGGACACAGTACACTTTACAGTATCATACAGAAAATCCAAAATCTATATTATGTTCCTCTTTAGTCTTAACTCCTATTACTGTTTCGTTTCAGGCCCCTTTAAACACTCCAGTGACAGAAGATATTTTCAGCATTTTAACAGAGAAACACAGAATCCCTGTCCCCATATTGCCAGGTAAATACAATATTGCTGAGTGACCTAGGTTATTGTACATATTTAATGTGAATTACTGTTGTTGGCTCTCGTGTCACGTAATAGATAAACAATTCTAGTGTGGTTCGTTTGCAGTTTACTGCAGAAAGTGAGCTATAATTTTTGTGAAATCAAGTTGTTAATATTTATAGGACATTAAAACCCCTTACCATATTTTTTATTTAGCTATTTCAAAGGTAATTTGCCCTGAGACCTTGCTCTTTTTAGTCCTTGGTGTAGATGAAGCATTTATGTTGAATTAATCAATTATCAATATACAGAATTTAAACACATCCTTTGTCACATATGGAAGTGCATCTGTCACCTCAGCTTCTAATTTTAGTAATGGTTCTGTGAAGGTCTGCCTATGAGGAACCATGGTAACTACATAGTGCGGTTGGGCAACCTGGTTCGCTGGCTGGGTGAGCAGGCAGAGGAGCTCGGGGTGGAGCTGTACCCTGGTTATGCTGCATCTGAGGTGAGGTCTTTTCTGAATATCGTTACATCCCAGCAGTGTATTCATTTCAGACCCTTTGAATTTTCCATTTCATCTTAAATTGGGATGTTATTACCCCCCATTATCTTTGAAACACAGTCAAAAATGATGTGAATAGTGTCTCTTTTTATTTATTTATAAGCAACAATAAAAAAACATTTCATAAAGGACCACTCACAACAGTGCAATAATTTTTTGCAATGGTCACTAACTATGTATATTTGAGTGCCAGATTTTTTCTGGGCAGACACTCAAATAAAATTAAGTAAAAATCACATTATTATTTGATGTTTGTTTTGGAGTCTAATCGTAGGCCAGATTGGATTTTCACCAGTTGATAATCACTGATTCGTAGTGTATATTTTCAACAAATGTTTCTACAATTTAAATCCAGTTAGTCATGGCCACTTTTCAATGTGTGCGATGGAAAGGTTAAACCAGAAGTAGAGGGATGTTAAGAAAAGTATCTAAATGACCTTGAAGTTACAAAAGAAATCCTATAATACTTCAGTGTTCAGTCTTCCAGTGTATTCACATTCATTTATTTGATAAAATACATTTTCCCTGTTCATTTACTTCCCAGGTTCTCCTATTAACATTGAGTTTGTATCTTTGCTTATAACAAGGTCCTGTTTCATGAAGATGGAAGTGTAAAGGGAATCGCCACTAATGATGTAGGCATCTCTAAGGATGGCTCACCAAAGGTACTGTTCCTTTACATAAAAAAAATAATACAACTTCTTTGCTGCTCTTTAATGCTTACAAAATAGATGCTTTTACATATCATTGTGACCCTAGCTGCTGTTTAGACTTCTGTGTCAGCTTAACTATAAGGACAAACACAGCTTGAAAACATACATTGATTTATGTAAGAGTTATGTTGATTGTGTGTGAAAGAGTTAATGTTTTTTTATCATTCATAATTAAAGTGATGCTGACAGATGTTGCACACAAAATTCATTCATTAAAATGTAGCTCTGTGTCCTTGAAGCTTTCAAAGTGACAGGAAAAAAGAAAAGTAACTTTGTTGTTGTATTTGAGGTGAAAAGTCTGTCTATCCTCTGTCCTTGTGTCCTGTTGCCTCCAGTCTCCCAGGTTCTCTGGAAGCTGCTAATGAATCTATTCCGCATTCAGCTTTGCTACTGTAAATTAGCCCCTGGATTTCACAGGATGGTGTGTAGATTGAGCTGTTCTTTATAAGACAAAAATAATCAGAGGTTGTAACTCATACATCGTTAAAATGCAATGATTGGTTCAGACCAAGTGCTTTTCTTTTTTAATTAAAACCAATTTTGACCGTTTATTTTTCTTTTATAGGGAGAAAGAAATCTAACAATACTTGTGTTCCGTAATCTACAGAATACTCTGCTGTCTCTGCTGTTTTAGGATGTCTTTGAAAGGGGAATGGAGCTCCACGCCAAGATCACGTTGTTTGGAGAGGGCTGTCATGGCCACTTAGCCAAGCAACTTTACAATAAATTCAACCTGAGAGAGAATTGTGAGCCTCAGACCTATGCGATCGGCTTGAAGGAGGTAAACCGGTCATTGTACTTCTACAAGTGGCCCAGTTTGGATTCCTTATCCTTAATGCTCCTCTTCTTGTTTGGGCTGTCTCCTGTAGAGACTCACCATTGCTTATACAATAGAAGTGACCTGTCAACACCTTGCTTCATGCATAAACTGCAGTGCTTAAACTTATTGTAATTATAGTCTATGCACTATAGCATGTTGTTACTGTGTCAAGAAAACACCAACTGCCTCGGGTATTTGTAGCTAGGCTAATTACTTCTTTTATCGAACTTTTCCCTCCACTTTGTTTTACTTCTTTCCAGGTGTGGTCAATTGATGAGAAGAAGTGGAGGCCGGGCAGAGTGGAGCACTCCGTAGGTTGGCCCCTGAACAGGCACACATATGGAGGGTCATTTCTGTATCACCTGAATGAAGGAGAACCACTGGTGGCTCTGGGCTTTGTGGTGAGTTGCGTCAGTAATTTTCATTAGCAGATTTTTTTTAAACTGCTCTGACAGCTGAATGTTAGCCTGTGAATGACCTCAAAAATATTCCATCTCTAAAAAGGGAATTAGCATCTTGTGGTAAATGCCGTAACTAATCACTTGGTTTGTTAAGTAATTGTTTAGAAATTTAGAAATATATTTTCATTCATTGGGACAAAATTCCTAAATTTGAGTATTTGGAGAACTAGACCTAACCTAGACCATCCTATAAACCTGTGTAACGTGGTTAATCACACACCAGACACACATTTGACAATGCTAGGGAGAAAACTCCCAAAAATGATTCATGAATAAATAACAGTACTTTAATTAAAGTTCTATAGAGTTTTCAAAGCAATGACAGCAGTGAATATTTCTGCAGAAAACCTTTGGAAACAACCAGGTTAATTCAAATTACCATTTTCATAAAGAACATAAAGATTCTATAAAAAAAAATGCTTTGTGTAAATCATTGGTCAACATACTGGTAATTAATGTGATTATATTGCATTCATGTAGACATGTTTATGTTCTGTAAAAGTATAACTAGAGACAAGGTTCTCAGGAATGGAGATGTGGTCAGAGTTTTTAATACGATTCAGAGCTGCTGCATTTGCTTTAAAAAAAGACAGTTTAATGTCTTCATAATTTAGGCACCGCTGTTATACTTTGCCGAGGATAACCTTCAAACAAGCCTTAGTCATCCATGATTGTAAAGCCAGATTTGTTACGCCTCAGCCGTGACCCCTGATACACATTTAATCACCGGTCTCCGGTTTTGGGAGAGATGCATATTCTGAAGTTTAATAAAGTGAGGAAATGGATTTAATTCGACACACTTGCTTTAACAGACAAATGTTTTTCCTAGCACAGTACAGCACCAAAAACATAATGTTGATTTGTACTTGCAATGACACAAACCAATTTATTTTTCCACTTGCTTTCTTAATCCAGGAGAGACTCACTTGCTGTGCATCCCCCACCCCTCCCATTCTCCACATTGACATATTCACAGATATTGGTTCAACACTCCTCTGAACTTTGATTAGAACACTTGAAGGGGTATTCTCACTAAAGTAATGGATTGAAATAGCAAATAAGTGATTTTTTTTCCCACTGTGGTGCAAAAATGTTTTTTAAATAATTTGACCTGCTCCCTCACTCTGTAATAAATCTGTGCCCCCCACTTTGGTAACGTTGTCCAGGACTTAAGATATTTCCATTTTCAAAGAACTGTAGTTAGTATTGAAGATTTTACACAGGTTTTGATCTATAAAACAAAGGTACTTTCTTTTCTTTTTTGCAGTTCAAATGCTAAACATGACCTGTGGATGTTATAATAAAGATATATTCATTAAAGCTTTTTTAGTCTACCACTGCTTTTTTACCTTGTGATAAACCTGCTTGCCTATAAGTATAACACACTTGAGGAAAGCTGACAGATTTATCTGAGGTTCTTGTCTGCCTCTTAGCTTATAATAGCGATGTCACTATGATCTATGGTTTCAAACCCCTCTCCTCTTCCTCCTGCAACTTCCCATTGATAATCATCTGTTGTGTTCTAAGAAAAGATTCTTCCCCTAGCAGCTGTCACAAGCTTCTATAAAACAGTTAGCCTCGTAATCCACCCACTCAAAGTCTGAGCTAAACCTGATGTAAACTTGGCTTTAGACTCCTGTGAAGTGATTTGAATTTAATCATTAACCTTTCCTTCCCACAGGTTGGTCTCGATTACTCCAACCCGTATCTCAGCCCTTTCAGAGAATTTCAGCGCTGGAAACACCACCCATTTATTGCACCTACTCTAGAAGGAGGTCACAGAATTGCATATGGAGCCAGGGCCCTGAATGAGGGAGGATTTCAGGTATCAGTGACTGGATAAAGTTTGACATTTGCATGAGATAAGAAAAGCTCAGTGCAACTAAAATTTACAGATGTGTGAAAATGTGATTGCCAAAGAAAAGTTAAAGACTGTAACTGCCATGTAAAGGAATATAGGGCATACTATTTGGATATACACCTACAGACTTGGATGGTGATATCTTGTTTTGTTTGTTTGTTTGTTTTTTGTTTGTTTTTTTTTGAAGAAAAATGCAGGGAAAAAACATCAGTATTAATAACTCTAGCATAATTTCTGGTGGCGAAGCAGTAAACTGCAACAGTCAGGAACTACATCATTGTTCACACATAAATAGGATAAACATCAATTAATGACATCAGAACAAAACCTGACAATGTGCAGTTTAATACAATACCTTCTTCCTCTCCAGTCAATCCCAAAGCTGACATTTCCTGGAGGGCTGCTCGTTGGCTGCAGCCCAGGTTTCATGAATGTCCCAAAAATAAAGGGAACTCACACGGCCATGAAGAGTGGCATGTTGGCAGCTGAGGCCATTTTCCCCAAAGTGATCGCTGAAGAGCCACATTCTGATACGATAGGTACTGAAATTAAATTAACCTAAGATGTGGAAAGTGGTGGGTCGTGTTTAGTGTAGATCGGGACTGAAGTCATTGAGACTTGGACCTCGAGGTGACTTGTGTCACTACTCAAATTACTTGACAAAGAATTTAGAGTAATTGACTTGGAAGATAGATAATCAGGGATTTACTTAACTTGAGACATAATGACCAAGATATTTAATTCTTTTTAATTTTATTTTTTCAGGTATGATATAAAATAATGTTTTTGTATACGTTATACTTGATATCCAAGTAAGTGAATATTTAAGAATTGAGTTTAGTTAGTTATTGCTTTATAGGCATTAAAAAAAACATTGTTTTCCACAGCATGTGTTTTCTTTACACAAAAGGCCATGGATTTTATTAGTGTGCACTAGCCATATCTAATTAACTTTAAAAACTTAAAAAATGTAATTTACCACACAGCCTGTTACATGTCACTACCTAATGATTGTAATCCTGCCTAAATCTGACCCTTTACAAGTTCAGTATTTCTTATGGTTCCTCTGTTGGGGAAAAAAAAACCCTCATCAATCATATTATCTGCTTTACTGCAAATCAACAGGCATTGAACTGAACTGAATTATACCAAAGCCAGACTCTTACATCACTCAGTATTGATCAGAGTGAATAGAGTACAATTTATGCTGCAATTTATGCTTTATGCTGCCGCAGTGAATAGAGTACAATTTATGCTGCAAGAAATTTTAAACAATTGAAGATAAACAAACTGTCAGTGGAAGATGATGTAAATGTTCTTAGAATTTTTCCAGAGTGACAAAAGCTGACATTAACTCCATTTTTTCCTCCTAGGGCTCCATGTGCCTGAATATGCTGAGAACCTAAAGAAATCATGGATTTGGAAGGAACTTCATTCGGTTAGAAACATCAGGCCGTCGTTTCACAATTACTTTGGCCTCTACGGCGGCATGGTGTACACCGGCATTTTCTACTGGATCCTCCGTGGGAAAGAGCCATGGACACTGAAACACAGAGGTGAGTGTTTGACAGTATTTCATGGGTTTATTAAAAACAATCTTAGCGTTTAAGTTTCAGGAATTAAAAAGAGCTTTGGATTGAATTGGGGTATAGCCAGTCTGATGTTGGTTGTTGTATGTGGTGACAACATGGAGGAATAAGGAGTGAGTTCTAACAATGAGTCCTGTCCTATTGTAAATAATCCTAATAAAAAATACAAATTGTGACAATTGCCAGCTTTCTATATTTCTCTTTACATTCTGTATTGTATTTGAAACAATGTCTAATAAAGAGTACATTCTCTGAGAAGCAAAAAAAAAATGTACCACTCAAGTTTGATGTCAAAGAAAAAACGCTCTGCACATTTATCTCTATTCCTGAAACAGAAGCTCAGCGCTGCTAGGTTACCTGTCGGTGATTTATGAGGTTATCTAGACTCGGCAGCAACAGCAGAAATGAACATTTTCTCACTGCATTTACTACATCTGCCCCAGGCCTTGATGCACACCAGCTGAAACCAGCCAAAGATTGCACGCCGATCGAATATCCCAAACCCGATGGCAAGATAAGCTTTGACCTGCTGTCCTCAGTGGCTCTGAGCGGCACCAATCACGAGGGGGACCAGCCACCGCATCTGACCCTGAGGGATGACAGTGTTCCGGTCAGCAGCAATTTGTCCATATACGATGGGCCTGAGCAGCGCTTCTGCCCTGCAGGTAACGCCTGTGTAATTTATTTACCCACAAAGGGTGTCAGCTCTTTTCTAAAATTATGCCTATGATCAATAATAATGTGTTTAAAATGGGGGAGAAGTTTGTTAAATTCTGAAATGCATTGTCACCACAAAGACATTTTTTTTACATTTCTAATCATATTATAAGTTGCCGTGGCTCTGATTAATACCAGGCAAGAACAAGAACAAGAGCAAAGTTCATTCCTCTAATTACTACGACAGTGACATCCACCGACAGCACCTTCTGTACCAGGAAAGACAAAATCCTTGGTTCTTGCAGAGTATCTGAGTTGCCAGATAAGATGATTATTGTGTTTTTTGATTGTTCTACCAACTGTAAAAATTGGGAATCCAAAAATATACATGCAGTAAAGAGAAGAGAACATGCCGGCCTAGTTAAGTCAGTAGCACAACATAGCACCATAGCCTACAACCGTGGTCCGAAAACATTTTCTGCAGCGCTCTGCATTTTGTCAATGACTATTGACTATTGTCAAGCCCTTCATGTTGACACTGCCACAGCTTTTGCTTTAAAACTTCATTGAACTTTTTGTAAAACAGTGTAATTTCTTTTTAAGAAGGAAGTGAAATATAGAGGTTGGTGCAATTTCCCCACTGACCTTTTTTGCCTCAGTGTGCCCCCTGGGTGGGTCCACCTCCACTTGGGAACTACTGGGCAATAATAAAGTGTTGCTAAATCAGATTGTCTTGAGAGATGTGGAAAAAGTTGGTGTTAATAGTAATTCTTCTCAAAATATGTTTATTTAAAGCCACTGTTATGATACGATCGGGAATCCGTTAGCCTTAAGGAAATCGTCTTAATGGTTTCATGTAAACAGCCTTTTTCTCACTGTCAGCAATTCAAGACAAATGTAAACTCACCAGTCGGATAATTCCACATTGCTGATGCCAGACACGTTGTGACATGAATCTCCACCGAGAGATAAACTCTAGTCACTCCAGAATTAATATCACTATAATAAACCAACACTGTGTGTGTGTGTGTGATGAAATTGTTCATCAAACTGCTGTTTCCACCTCACTGATCTACTCGCTCCGAACTTAATTAGTTCATGTAACAGAGTTCTATAAATCACCCACTCCTTCATAAACACTGCAACAATTTAGTTATTTTCTATGTCCCAGATGTTTTGTCATTAAAACTTGAAAAAATTACTTTTTCCCAAATATTTTTGCAGGTGTGTATGAGTACGTCCCCACTGACGCTGGAGATGGGATGAGGTTGCAGATAAATGCTCAGAACTGTGTCCACTGTAAGACCTGTGACATTAAGGATCCCAGTCAGAACATCAACTGGGTCGTTCCTGAAGGCGGCGGCGGACCTGCGTACAACGGAATGTAAATCTCAAGGATTTTGGTTTTTGCCCTTCACAGCCTTCTGTGTGAAATGATAACTGTAAGTATGAACATTGACACGTTACAGAATTACTGAGGATCACAAATGTCTTCAAGTGCAAAACAGAGGAACAACTATGTTGCTAATAATAAAAATCATGTTTTTTATTATAAAACACTGAAACCAAACTTAGGAAGAAACTGTCAAGTCAGAATAAATAATCAATTTTCTTATAACCACAGAATTGGCATTCAGAACTGTTTGAATCGTCTGTTTTTTTTCAATGTTTTCAACGGACCGTAAAAGCTAATATATTTAATTCTAGACGTGTAATGAAGCGTACATTTTATTTTTGGAAACACACATATAGTGATGTGTTTAACAATAATACAAATATTTACTGTTTGCATTAGAAAACAGTGTTCATATCAGTCTATGTTGCCTTACATAAAAATGGTGATCTAGGCCTCTACTGTCAGCCCTGGCTGAATTAGTGGTGATAATGTGTCGTAGAACAAATGGATGTGGTCACACAGCTACCGGTGTCTGGTATTGGAAATAACTCTGCATGAGATGTGTTCCCTTTCAAATTTCTGACCAAGTAAATTAAATTATGTTAATTATAATAATGTTAAGTACTTTTGTGTGTCTGTGTAGGGTTTATAATTGAGGCATCACTGACTCTGATACTAATGGGTCAATGTTTTCGCAATAAATTTAACAATGCACATTAGCAGAGACATTTAAAAGGAATCCCTTTAAGAGGAAACTCTATAGTCATACATCATGGGAGTACTTAGGACTCCTTATGGGTATTTGAAACCAGTAATTGCGATGAATGACAACTTATCTTACCATATAATCGTGAACTTGCACAAAGTTATATCCAAAAACAGCAACGGACAGTTGTTGACCTACTTCAACATCACTTGATTAAATCCATATTAACATCGTTGTACAAACTTATGAACGAAGAACACTTGAGTGCTGTATTTTGATTTATTGATCTTTGTACAAAGCATAATAAAACAAATGGACAGACTGTGACTATGTGTGAATTGAGGCCTTGACTGAACCAACATGCAGAAAGAACAGTGACAGTGGTCTGTGCCTCTAAAACTCCATGTACTCATTACAGTGAACAACCTTGTCAGAACCAAGACTATTGAAAACACATTTTATTTCTTCAGCACGATACAGTGAAGTCCCAAGAGGGAACCCTGACAGAAGACATCAAGTAAAATTACTGCATGTTTTCATTGACATACAGACTGTTCAAATATAGTCAGTGCACATTATTACCTGCAGGCATGTTGTTGCATTATTGATAAATAAGAAATTAATTTTGTCAGGTGACATACTTAAGCAAACATTTTAGCATAGATCTTCTTCTCTTTCTCCTTCTCCTCCTGGATTTTCAGCTGCACTCTCTTCATCTCGTTACTGATAGCTGTGGAGGAACACAAATCGCCAAATATTCAAATATCTGAAATCTGAAGTGTAACAGTGTTTCAGTTGTTATAAGTTGACTTGTAACAACTGAAACTGTTTGCTACTAATTTGCAAAAATAATGCTTGTGCACCACAAGTGTTGGTGCATAAACACAGCACTGCAGGCCATACTGTTAACTATTGTTGGCTATTTGTAGCATCAGTTTAATTGTTGTGGAATCTTAAATCAAAATAGAATGGTTGATTCTCATAGACTGAAGCCCTTGTTGGTCACACACCTAGGTCACTAAACCTTTTGGCTTCTACGTTTGAACATCAGCAACAGCAAATGTGCTAATTAGCTGAAAACCCCAGAGTGTGAACTACCATCACAGTCAGTAATTGTTATTGCTAACCTTTGTCTTCTGGTGTGAATCCCTGAGCTTTCTTCAGATCAGCCTGTAGAAGAGGAGGAAGAAAATCAAATTAAGAGGAAGAGCTCTTTTTTTCCACATTTAACGTGCCTCACTTCGGATTTCTAAAGAAATAACTACATTTTTGTGCAGCTTGTTCGGAAACACATTTAAATTTGTCAACATTCCAAGGAAGGAAGTTTTAAGGCCATTACCATGGCTTTGCTGTATTCCTTTAAGCCCTGCCAGGCCTGGGCTCTACGGAAAAGTGCTTTAGTGCTAGATTGATCCACTTCCAGGGCCTGTATCAGAAACACACAGATGTCAGAAATAAAATTCTGTTCCATTATTTTTTACCAGATTCATCTTTTAGTTTAGCTACATTTACAGGCCAGTTTTGTTAAATGTTATAACGAGCTGTTTTTCCTGATTTTCCACTAATCATTAGCTTTTATGCAGAATTGTAACTAACTTAATATAGGCTATGCTTAACTGGCACAATAGTCTTGCTATATTGTTGGTAGTGTTAACATTGGGCTGTGGTCAGCATCACCTCATCACAGCTGTCCACAGTCTCCTGCCACTGCTGCATCTTCAGCTTGCAGGCTGCCGTGTTAAGGAAGCAGCTGAGGGCTGTAGGTTTTAGCTTCTCTTGTGCCTCTTCTTCCAGCTGTTCTCCACCAGCCTCCAAATACCTGCAGAGAAGTTAACAGTCAGAAATAAGCTTTGTCATGAAGCAGGATTGGACGTAGAGAACAATATTGGTGGTGGTCTGTCAATTAACTGAGCTCCACTTAATAAGCATTGGGGCTCCACGCTATACATTACAGCCATTTTACATTGGGATTCAATAGACCAACAGACCAGCTTGGTTAATTAGCAGAAATGTTAATGGCCTTACGGCAGCTGTTGTGCCTGGTCACGTCCCATCAAGGGCAAAAGAATAGATTTTAAGGAAGTGCACTTAATGAATGTTTGAATGTGTTAAAAGGATATGTCTACAGTTTTATTTTTATTAATGATCAGTGAACAACCCGTTTAATGTTACTTCACTGATCTGCTGCCATTATGACAGTCATAAAAGTGTCACTCTTAAATATGTCTTTCATAAAAAGCTGTAACAGTGAACCACAGAGTGACCACATGAGCAGTTTAATCAGAAGATTCCATCATCTAAGCTTGAAAAATGCATAGTATTCTGTTGGTTGATAAATAATTATAATAATGCATTGATAACAGTATTTAAAAACAATCAAAATGTTGTATTAATAGGTTTATGATTTAAAAAAAAAAAAAACTAGTTTTAATTAACAGAAATAGTAGAAATGGAAGGGATTAAAAATTATGGTATACCTGCACTGCATGGCTTGTAGCTCAATTACCCATCAGAAAATAACAGTTATGTTGTTTAGTTGTTTGCATGTCAACCCTACATTGTCTATTGTTCAAAAAGGGATCTGAAAATTAGCATATTTTATGTAGACTCAAAGTCTACACAGAACAGAATATGCAAATATGAGAAAATATTTTTGTTTAAAAAGTAATTAAAGTTTCATACAACTCTCTGCGTGCCAGTCTTCATTTTATTCTAATGTGTGGGTGTAATCAGATTTTTCAAGGATGGTCTGAGGGAAATGTGAAAACACTGTAGGGTCAACATCTTTTATTACGCAAGGCCCTGCTTACATTCAAAAGTGAATAAACTACAAAAGTAAAAATAAACTACCTTTTTAATGCTGAATTTTCACTGACCTGAGAGCTTTGCTATATTTGTTGACAGCAGCTGTCCAGTTTTGATTCTTAAACAGGGTGTTCCCAATGTTCTTCAAATCCTCAGCGATGGGCAATACTTTGTCAACCTGAGAACAAAATGGAACAGGAGACTGTAGCTTAGCAATAAAAAGAGTATCTAATTAACACTGAATTTGTCTTTTACAATAATATCTCTAGCACTTGATCAAGCCCGAGTTAGGAGCTGAGGCTGAAATTTGAAATTATAGAGATTGTAGTCTAATTCTGAAGCCTTGAGAAAAACTAAATTGTATTGGTGTGGAGGTCAAAGATCTGATTATTTCTTACATCTTTGAAGTCGATGTCAGAGTCCTCAGGGAAGTCAGGGTGGACGTCCCCTGATCCATCGTTGGGTGCGATGCCCCAGCTGTCTCCATCCTTGTGCTCACCACAGTCTGCTATGACACATGACTGCAAAGGCAGATATCATGGAAAAGTGTCAATAGCACAAACACAATCTATATTTATAGGGTATTGGTTATGTAGCTTAAAGGCCAACTGATAGTTGGATGTCTGAGTCCAATTACAGAAATCAAACAAAGAAAGGTCAGTATGATGTTGATTTTTTACTTGATAACAGTCCACCATTTTTACACATGACACATATTGAGTTAGCTGAACTGAAATACTTAAATTATTACAGTTTTTAATCTTAAAAAACAAAAGAAAATTAATTAATTAAATTTAATTTCTAACCACCTTCAGCAACTCAAGACAGACTCAGGTCAGATTTAAACACTCTACGTTGTATTTTATATTTAAAATAATGAAAACATAACTGTAGTACAATCTAGCATCTGAAGTAAAAATTTGTTTCAGCACAAGGAATACTTTACCTTCACAGGGGCGTCATCTTTGGTTTCAATTTCTTCCAGTATTTTTACCAGCCCCATCCCTTTCAACACTTGTCCAAAGACCACGTGTTTTCCGTCTAGGTGAGGTGTAGGAACAGTGGTGATGAAGAATTGTGAACCGTTGGTGTTTGGCCCAGCGTTGGCCATGCTTAGCAAACCCATTTTGTCATGCTGCATTGAGGGGGGAAAAAAAGGGGGCGGGGGATCATCCTTGTCTTTAGAATGCGGAAATAGTATGTCATAATACATTTATAACTTCATTACTCAAAGGGCTGCTGAAAATGGTTCACATTTGAAGTTAATATGTTATGGAGTTTTACCTTGTAGTGAAAGTTTTCATCTTCAAACTTATCCCCATATATGCTCTCACCACCGGTACCATTCTGGTTGGAGAAGTCACCTCCCTGAATCATGAACTGTTTGATAACTGCAATAAATAAATAAATAAATAAATAAAATACACTAATTTGTCAACATGGTTAGTTTTTTAAACTACTCATCTAAATAATTAACTAAATAACTATTTTGCATTGACAATAATGCTGCACAGTACACATATTTTTGCACAAAATGAATGTGTTGTATGCCACATATGCAGAAGTCATTTACTTCTGTGGAAGGGGCATCCTTTGAAGTGTAATGGTTTCCCAGTGGATTTGCCCGTTCCTTTCTCTCCAGTGCAGAGAGCACGGAAGTTTTCTGCAGTCTTGGGGGTGATGTCAGCAAACAGCTCCAGAACAATTCGACCAGCTGTGGACAAACAAAACAACAATCTCTGTGTTATAGTCTTGTGCGAAAGAACTGAGAATTTCTGTAAAATAAAAGATAGAAGAATCTTTTTTACGCACAAATTTCAGAGGACTGTCAAAATGATAAACATGTTTATCTTGAGAGCTTACCAAATAATATTGTTGCAGACAACGTCTTCACCTAATTTTTGAAAGCAACACTAGACACACAAATTCTGAAAGTGCTATGTAGGTTCTAATTAAGTGACAGTTAAGTAATATTCCATTACATGCCAACTAAAACGCAGAGATGACTGAAGGTTACCAGAATTACTAAAGATCTGCAGCAAAATGGAAGAAGTTATCCTTAGGTAGAGCAAAAACACTGAATCAGAGTATATAACTGCAAAACACATTTGATTAAGACGGATATAAATGCAAAAAACATTTCAGTTGCTCTAACCGACAAACCTAAAAATAATGAAGAAAAATCGAGCGTGTGGTTAATAAATGAAAAACTAGTTAAAATATCCTCGCGATTTCTGCATACTTGTGTCACACCTATAATAATACGGTGAATAATAAATTACATAAATAAGTTAATGTATCTGTTACAAAAGACAGTTATATCACAGTAGTAGCAGTAACGGTAACAATGGATAGATTTGTACATCTTGTCTTGTACGTCCAGCCACACGTGGTTCTATAGTCACAGAATCAGCTCTTTAACATATTTTAAATTTATTTAATGCAAACGTTTGTAAATAATTAGACAATCAAGTATAAGTTTAACAATTACAACATTTTAAAATTATACGTCTGGTAGTCCACTATTAAAATAGTCCAACATTAAGAAGGCTGTAGAAAGTACCAGAAGGTGCTAAGCTAACACTGCTAACTGCCTATAGTAGGCTTTTGACTGACTTTAATGGAAAATAAATGCTAACCTTGTTCTCCACCGATGTCTACATCCAAAAATACTCGGGGGTTTTCAGGGTTTGAGGGTTTGTTAGATGGTACTTCGTGAGACATTTTTGAGATAGAGGTGGTTTTAATAAATTGCAATAACTGGACAGGCTTGCCTCGCACAACGCCGGCTCAACCAAACTAAAGGATTTCCGGAAATGATTCGTTCAAAATAAAACAATCTTCGAAGCAGCAGCAAAGAAAAAATAAAAAGCAAATGTGTCGACTTATAATATATATATATATATATAGCATTTTACCACAATTACAAATAATAATATATAGCTCAGCAAATTTAACAAAAACATTTGCCATTGGCCAGATCGGTTTATAGTTGACTTCCGGTAAGAGTTTTCACAATACACTACAACGTACTCATTATGAGTCGCACATTTATAGAAATTGGAAGTAGCTGCCTGACTTTAAACTATAGTACAGTAGCTCTAGAAACAGATCGTTGGCTTTGGAGTTACCTCTAATAAGCATCTCTGCCACCTCCAGCTCATCACCCTGTCTTGAGTCGTTTCCTCTTTCTCCAAACTAAACCTCAAGTTTCAGGATTAGCAAGGTACGTTACTGCTATAATATCAAATTAATAATTAAAACATATTTAGTTTTTGAACGCTGCCTACATGGGTATGTACCCCAGAGGTATAAACACGTACATTTATTTTTCAACACCCAGAAAAGTTTTTAAAAGAAAAAAAATACTAAAATTTTACTAATTAAAGTCTTTCTATACTACTCACCAAAGTAGAAATCCCCATTTAAACTATGTTTCATTTTCAGTGCCATCGTCTGCTATCTTGTTCTGTTTGTTCTGTCATTTTTTCCTGATATTTTTTGACAAAGAAAAATCAACATTGCAGCTGAAATGTATGATTTAATCCCTAAACTGCCTTGTACATTTCTAATTGCAGCATTTTGTATCAGTTGCAGCATTTTGTATCAGTTTTCAATGTCCCTGTACGATTGAGTGTAACAGCGAAAACACTTTTAATTGTGAGAGGTGAGATTTGACAAGGGAATATATATTCACATCCATATGAGAGCCGGATGAAACCAGTTCACGGGCCTTGTCATATGGGTATTTCAATCATCTCACTGAACCATCTGAAGCAGGAAAATACATTACAAGGAAATAAAAAAGAAATAGGGAGGATCGAGACCACATTAATAATTTACTGTTTGTAGGCAACTAGTAAACTACTACTCGGTGTAAACATGAGCCTCTAATACGGTATCAGACAGTAAGCACAGATGATGAAAACACATTGGGAATGATAAAATGCTTGAGAATGACTGTTGTTGATGAAGACATGAAGATGAGTGATAAAAAGCATGCAAGTACCAAGCATGAATAATAATGACAAGTAATAAATGCTGAAACTGTAGCTGTAACTGATATAGTTCGGTATATGAAGTGGAAGGCTGTTGGTTTTGTGGTGTAGCGCAGCACGATGATTGACAGAATAAAAGAACATTTTCATGACGTACAATAAAAGGGAGGTTTGATGTGACTTTCTTTCAGAGTATGGCTTTGTGCATTTGTGTCAAAGGCTCCTACTGTTCTTTATTGACCCTTACAGACAGGTGCCCATTACAGACCTTTCACTCTTGTATGTTCTTGTATTGTGCAGACTGAATGAGTGGTCACTGAAGGATGTGATTCCAGGAAGCCATTCTTTGAACCCCTGGAAATTGGGAGCAATCCTTTTCAACAACTTCATCTGTAATGAGTGACAAGCCTGGCCTGTGTGAGATGTTTAATGTCTTCATGTGGCTGGAGGAAATGTGTGTCTTTCTATTTAACCTGTGTAACCTGTGTTTAGCTTTTTAGCAGTTAAAGTGAATAAAAATCTAAGGTTTAGAAATAAGGACGGTTCATCAGTTATAGAATGACAAATGAACGCAGTAATATTTTCCCTTTGAGGGTGTAGTGCTCATTAGAGATCAAAGAGGCAGTTTGCTTGAATTAATGAAATATTCATTTAGTACTTGGTAATCCTTGTTGAGGTTTGTGTGATAATAAACACATTCGTTGATCTTTTGCTGCTTATTTATTTTCAGCCTGGACATTTTGCACATCTGCTTTACCTGCTTCTTACCATTGTCTGCACATCCATACACATGTTCTGCACCATACTTAGGTTGAGATACAAACATAAAGGTCTAAAACATGACTTATACCAGCAGTTCACAAACTGTTTTGATCGCGTACCTCCTTCTATATCCTAACCGGATTATAGAGGCCATGTTAAATCATGCTCAAAGGGCCAGAACACACACACACATATATATATGGCTTGTATTTATTAATTAATTCAAATGTCCACTTTTGAGTTCAAATTTTACAGTGGAAATGTTTATTTACACATCTTTATTGTGTGGAAAAATCCCACTTAAACGAACACTCCAAGCTACATCATATTGTTTTATCTTGCACACCCCCTTGTGGCAGCTAGTGAACCCCAGGGCTGCCCGCACCACACTTAGGGAATCCCTGACTTATACTATAATGTTAGAAAATTAATTAGGCATTTTGAAATGTCCCAAATTGTATATATTGCATATAGCAAAAAAAAAAAGATGATCCTTGCATTATGAAAAACTCAATACAAGGATGACCAGGAAGCACAGAGTATTTATACCATCTGAGGCTTTGGTTTAACATTCATAGTTAAATAAATCTTTAACACTGGCTGCTTTGTTATTTAGTCAGGGTCAACTGAAGATTTTAAGACACACTTTGTAAATTAAGGTAAACATTGACAGGTGTTTAAGATGTTTTACAGCAGCTACTGTACAATAGTAATACTGTATATACACTGGTGAATGCACTTTTTATACTGTAGCATGAGAACATTGACACAATACACAATCAGACGCACAACATTGTGTGTGACTGTGCGTGTGTGAGACACGCTTAGAGACAGCTGAGTGACAGCATTGTGGTTAGCAACCTGTCCATTCATAATGCAACATGTTTGCAGAAGGAAACAGCCCCGAGCTATAGACAGGAAATCAGCCATATTCAGACACACACACACACACTCCCAGTCAGGATTTCATGAGTTGTGAGTACTCCACATAGACAATGCATTTCCTAACCCCATACACTAATCTTAACCATTACAAATATATGCCCAATTTTAATCCTTACCCACATTTGCGCTAATTTTAATTTTAACTCTAATTCTAAATCTTACTCTTCCTTAAAATATCCTAGTGTTACCTAGACCACACACACAAATGAAATGTGATTACGAATAATGGAAACTTTTAACTTTTAACACAAAAACACTAAAAGGGAGGGTTGTGTTTTCAGTCCTGAAACCTCTGAGTCACTCTGTCCTCCAGCGTTGTCCGAAACTCCGTCTTCTATCAAAAAAGGACAGACAGTTTGAAAAAAATTTAGAAAAATGTTTTTTTGACATGTACACAAAGCTGCAGTGTATGAAATATCAGTGTAATACCTACATATCTATATATATCTATATATTGCCACATAGAGTGCCATATATTGCAATATATTGGTTTATGACATTACAGTATTTTATATATATATAACTATAACAGTCAAAGTAGTAAATAGGCCCATACATATTTGAATTTTAGAAATAAAAAATCATGAGTAATTCATTAGCATTTATCTCTATTAGAAGCCAGAACCTCTTACCATGATATTATAAGTATGAATCTAGTCAAAGATCTTTTTTACAGCGATACCTCTAAACAATCACCCATGCCTGTAAAAGCATGTTTGTGTTTAAGAGCAAATATATTTAGAATAAAATAGTACCTTGATTTGCACATTACTGTCAAGCGTCCCGCTGTTTAAATGCTGACTGTACTGCCAGCCCCAGCCAATCTCCCCTACGTAGCTCTGCCTGGGTAAAGGGGGCGGAGCTTGAGGTGAAGCTCGCCACAAATAACTCAGGTCCCCTGTGGCGTCAGGTGATGCTGTGCCCACGCCAATGTACTGGGGGAAATAACCTGATCTGGGCCTGTAGTCTCCAATTCCACCTGGGCCTTGTGTTAGTGTTTAAAAAGAAAGAGTGGATCTAGATAAATAGGTAAATAAACATGTAGATAAATGTGTACATTGTATAGACATGAAGACGGTTCACTCAACAGTACTTAGTCAATATATGTATATAATATGCTTTATATTTATATACATATATGATATACTGTATATGTACATATACAGTATGTCAACATATACAGTTACAGTTCCATATACAGTTTACCTGTGCTTTAAGCAAGCCTAGACAATGCACATATATTTTCATATATGTGCAAAATATATATATGTATTTATACATTTTTTATTTATCTTTTTCAACTCCCTCTTTTTTAGCAAACTTGCTAATTTTAGCTAAATGGTTAGCTTATCTCTGACCTATTTATGGAATAATTATGGACTACTATTATCATAATTGTTTTACAGTCTCTGCTCTGTCTCTAAACCTGAGTACAACTCTGATCCTTGACTTGTGCGATGATAAATTTGCTGGCCTTTAAATCGCAGACTCAATTAAGTCCGTTATGTTTTATTTCACATTGTACGTGCTTTCCATTTTGAGTAGCTGATTTATTTGACTGTTTTGATTGGATAATCTATACCCCATTGTATTTTTAAATATTTGCTGTTGATTGTTGTTTGTGCCCTTTGTTTAATAGGTTGTTTTTGACAAGGTATAAAAAAATTTGACTTCAAATCAGAAGAAACTCTGCCATGGTTTCTAAAAGTATTTTGCAAATTGTTTAAATTTTAATGCCTATATACGTTTTTTTTTAATTGTTTTCAAGAGTTGTAAAAAAAGAAACATTTTAACTGTTACATGAAGTAATCCCAAATGATAACAGTCATGAAAATAGTAGCAGTTTATAACAGACTCAATATAATACTTTAGAAAATTGCTTTATTATAGGTTTGATCTTTTATAGGCAATTCATTCTCACTATCTCATCCAGTGTAATGACACAATAAAACCCCAGAGAACTGTGACTCAGTCAGTCTTACCTGTGAAAATCATTCTCTGTCCATACTGTGGAATTCTTGCCGTGGTTTCACAGTTTTGCATCATTTCCGCCCTTTTCCCAGTAGAGGTTTATCTTTTTGTTTGTCCAAAGTCAATGCATTTAATAGTAGGCACCTGTGGACTGATAACTTGAGCTCAGCGGTCTGCTCTGTCCATGGGGTCATGGTCGGTTGTCATGCAACCAGCAGTTGTCATGGCATTAGTGTGCGTGGCCTAGTTGCATTCTAAAGTTCAGGGGCTGTTTCTTTCTGCCACTGAACCAAGTCCATTTTACCTCAATTAGTTGATCATAATGTCAGGAAATAAAACTTCATAATAAAAAACATTCCATTTTACAATGTGAAAACTTCTAACTGTCAATTCACCTCATACTCTAGTCTGTAATTATTGTAAAAGTTCTTATTTATACATTTATTGCATTTAAGCAAATGTTTTTTTATTGCAGACAGGTCTGCAAAACATTTTTTTATGTATGTGTCTCTGTGTATTATTAAAATTATTACATACCAAATGTTAATTACTTTTTTTGTGTGTTCTTAGTGATGCATCTGTATTCCAGTCTCCTCCTTCCAGGGCTGCTGTAAAATGTAACTTTCCCACTGTGGATTAATAATGTCTTGTCCTCTCTGAACTGATCTTTTACCACCTATATAAAGACGCCTAGGTGTCTTAGAGGTTCCCTGAACTTGTTACTTGTTGAGAAAATAACATTTGTGTTTTATGAATATTTGCTGCAATGATCTTTAATAATCTGATAATGTAGTGTTATTTTAAAGCTTATTAACAATCATATTAATTATTAAATAATTCCAAACTAACTTTGGAACTAATAACTAAGATTGTAGAAACCAATTTTCATGTAATACGAGTTATCAGACCGATTTCTTTTACTTCATAGACCTCTTATACGAGTGTTACTCAAATTGGCCACTAGATGGCGGAATAGCATAATTTAGCGTTGCTATGCACCCCTGCCCAGCTCAATTTCTTTTTCTTTTTTGTTAAATGGACTCGCCCATGAGCCGCCCCTTGTGACTAAATCGCTGTCAAGTCAAATAGATATAAAAACAGTCAGGCAGGAAATGCGAGGGTTTTCACTAAAAATAAGAAATGAAAAACTCCCAACTAGCATGAAACATGGTTTATTAAGACTTAACCAAAGTACAATAAATTAGTAAAACGTGCATTATTTAAACGTAATAGATAAATACTTTTAAAACTGACGATATGACTGTGCTGTTGTAGCATTTTACATAGCTACAGCACTGCAGTGTGCATTATTATTTTGTTAGTATACTTATTTTTAATTGACCGTGAAACCTAATTGAATACAAATTTAGTAATTTGATGGCTAATTATTAAATGCCTTCAAGCTGCATCACACATACCCAGTCATTTGACATGGAGACATGGGAGGGGTTATTATTTTTATGCACATGTCATTGATGTGCTTACTTTTTTTTAATTATGTGCCTCTATTGTTTTTATTTAAACACATTTTATTATACTTAGAATTGGTTTTCTAATCTTGCAAAAAAAGTCGACATTGAATTAATGTTTTAATAAAATGTGAATGCTGTGCAACTTTTCATTTAGTCGATGTCTTTAAAAATTCAGGTCTTTATTGTTTAAATGAATGAAGAGGAAAGTACACAAACCCCACCCCGCATTATTTTACCGCAGACACTACCCGTATTATCGTCGTCCATCTTTTGTCTCGGTCTTCGCACTACTCTATCTTATTTTGAAAATCAATAAGGGAAGTGTGACGGTTAATTAAGTCCGACTTGACACTGGTTTGTCAGTCACCATGGTGGCATACAACAGAGTAGAGCGGTGGCGGGGCAGTCTACACTTTTAGACCCGTAGAAAATGCTTTCAAAATGAATTTTCCTCAGTGAATGTGACCGTGTCTTGCTCTCGTGATGGAGATCAGGTTGTTATTGACGGGATAACTGTCACCCGTGAGTTTATATATTTTTAAATACTGCTGGATCCAACATGGAATTTCTTTCGTCGCTAGCAGAATGCTGAGGAGACAAGGGACAGATAGCTTTGGTGAACAGTGGCTTAAAGAGTGGAGTGTTATTTTCTTCATTCCCAACTGAAAGACTTGTTTTAGAAGAAGTTCCCATTCTGTTGGACGTTTCGTTCCGGTTTTCCACTGAAGCTGCAGTTCTTTGGAGGCTCCTCGCCAGCTGAACGAAGAGACAGCGAGCAGAGCGCTCGGCTGTCTGGCTCCAGTCGTGGCCTGGCTGCGGGCACTCCCAGCTCACCCGCTAGCATTTGAACACGGGAGACGAGAAGAAAAGCAACACAGTGGGGAATAACTCCGTGGAACATATCCTCATCCTTGGATATTTAGATCATTTCTTTACTTTATCTGTAGGATAAATCCCATCCGTACCCACGGCGTCTACTAAAACAATGGCGTCTTATGTGGATAACAGCTTTCGGCAGGCTGTGATGATGAATCCGGCTGAAAGGACGCAACAGGTCAGTGTTAATGTGTATTGAAGTTACGCGTTTTACTTTTGCCCCGCACTCCACCTCCCCGGTACAGCTGCACTATTGTTTCACAATCGTACTGACAACAGCCGGCAACATGCTAGGGCTGTGAAGTGTTTCCTTTAGAGTGCAACTGTTGTCATTCAGTCCCTACCCGTGTTACGTTACGCAGGGCTGCATCCCACTAAGCTCCGTCTGTATCAGTACAGATAATCAAAGCCACTTAACATAACAAGGGCTGAAGCCTTGGTACGACTCCAACCCCGATCTGCAGCTACATTTAGGAAGCCACATTTACCCATTTCATTACCGTATCAAATAATTCGACCAACTTCCTGTTTTATCGATTATTCATTTGATCGATACGTGCAGATATCTGTGTAAAAATGTAAATACGAAAGTTCAGCCCACCAAATAAATAACATCCTAGTGTTTGGTTTTCAACCACAAACCACAACCTCAACCACACTTTAACACAGGAGTTCAAGGAAACCAAAACATGATTACATTCCGGGTGGAACGTGAACATGCTATAATTTTATAATTTTAAAGTCCTATTAATTATATAAAAGAAAATCCTTAAGATGAAGGTTGCAGACCTAGCTATATACAACAAACTGTTTTTAAAATACAAGATCAGCTTTGTCCTGTCTATTTGTTTAAGTGATTTTGATCCATATTTTGAAGCTTTTGGAAAATGTTAATGTGTTTAAACCTTCAATTGACAATAACCTATACTAGTATTTTGTTTGAGTCCATAAACTGTCAAAGTTCCTAAAGATTGGGCAAGGTCTCGATAAACTGGATACAAGATGACTTTTAAATGAATGTGCATTAAAAATACCTGGTAATAACTTAATGATTATAATCAGTGTTAATTTGATTCTATGTAGCTTTGGATTTCAATTTTGGATTTCAGGAAGGCCAAAGAGGAGATAAATTGATGCAGTGAGGGAGGACATGCAGATAGTTGGAGTCAGAGTAGAAGATGCAGAGAACAGGGCGAAATGGAAAACGCTGATTCGCTGTGGCAACCCCTGGAAAAAAAGGACAGACGAAAGGAAAAGAAGAAGAAGAAGGAGTAGCTTTGGATTTCATGTTAATATATTAGGTTATGATATTTGTTTTTCTATATTTACAAAAAACAACTCAAATCAGTAGTTTGGTGATTATAATCTTTGGTCACATATTTTAGTCATGAATAATATGTCATAATCTTTAAAGGCAATAACAATCATTGCAAAGTTTTCAGGAAACCTTAATCATGTATGTCAGGGTGCTTGAATCTTTCTCAAAGATGTCCTTGTGCCAGATTGAAGCATGTTCAAAATGTTTTGCAACAGTAATAAAAACACAAACTGCTGCGACTGATCACAGTGTTTTTGTCTTTGCCAAGCCATGCAGGATCATTGGAAGTTTGAAATAAGTTAAAATGCCATTAGTGAGGGTAAAGAATAGAAGCTGCTCTCTAAATGCATACAATGCTTTGCCACAGCATTAAAGCATTATGCATGTTTTATTGTCGCAGTTGATTAGTGTGTTTGCATCAGATGCACAGATTAAGAGCCAAATACCAGTCTAGCCAATGGCCCATATTAGCCCACCACAGCAGACATGAAACCCAACAGCTTGTTATACAACAAACCTCAATTTAATGCAGGCATTTTATGGAATATATAATAGTTTTTATAATCACAGCCCCAAAAAGACTTGACGACTTCAATAATATCCTCCTATAAGAAGTTTGTTTTATGTTTGAGAAACAAAGAACTAGGTGCATAATACAGACTTTCTCAATAAACAGTGAACAAAACAAGACAAATCCTGTTTTTGGAAGTTCACCCTTTGAAAAATGAAGTGAAATCTGAAATCTGGTGAACTGGCTACAGAACCATTTCTAAAATGTGCTCATGTAGAAACTGCGACTTGCACAGCAGTCCCAAGAAGTTCAGATTGACAGAAGTTCACCCACGGGTCACATCCCTTTTCTTTTTACTTCACTTCCTAATCTTTTAGGAACTGAAGATACCAGTGGTTCTGCAAATGAGTCTTTTCTTGGTTTTTAAAGACTGAAGCAGCCAAACAGACATTGGTTATTGTTGTCCATTTTTCTCTTTTAGCCTTAGTTGATTATCTGAATGATCTTTTATGTCAGTGTTCATCAATTATGCTTGTATAGCGGTTTTCTAGACCCAAAAGCATTTAACGCTATGGGTTTTGCTATTTACCTATTTACAGGAAGACTTCCTGGTGGGCGGCATAAATCCTCCAGATACTTTGAAAATCCTTTTCTTTCCATAATGTAAACATCTAATGCCATAGGCATCACACATTGGATACTTGTATTCTAAAGATCTATTTGGTGATGTTCAGTAGACCAGGTGTAAACCTTTACATGGCCACATCGCCCAAGTGGGCTGCCAGTTTATGATCATAATGGTTGTGTCACAGCCTTGTGTCACGTTTTTAACTTCAGAATCATGTAATTCAACAGTCATTCCAGGAGTTTCCTTTTGCAAGATTAGTGTTTTTTTTAACAGGCTCTGGCTACTCTTTTTGAGCAGTACCTGGATTATCAGGCAATTATAACATATAGAATCCGAGCTGAATGCCTTTAGACCTTGATAGCTCTGCTGCACAGTCAAACAGTGAGCCCCGGATGCTGTTCTTTCTTTTGTGCACTACCTCCACTGCACAGAGACGCTGCGTTAGCAAAGGCTTTACACACAATGGACAATCAATAGACCACCGCTTAAACCAGTGGGCTACAGTCAGTGGCACAGATGCCTGTGTCTGTGAGAAAACGATCCTTGGCTTAATCATCGATGGTTTCTTAATTGAACTGGCCTGTGGTCTTTATGGTTCCATTCAAGCTATGATATGTGTGTTTTCCCAGAGTAAGGGAGAGGGGGGGAAGGAGGGGTAGATGGGTGTATAGA